CCCGCCCACCTTCCCTGCAGGATCAGGTTCTTGCCATAGCTAAGTTACACTACGCATACCGTATTTTCCGGAGTATAGTGCGCACCTTTGTATAACGCGCACCCCCAGTCTTTTTTGGGGGTGCGCACTTCAATCTTCATTGAAGTACATACATTTCATATTCGGAGCATAGTGCGCACCTGCGATTTAGGGCCTATAATAGCACATCTAAAGTGCGCACTATTGTCCGGAAAATACGGTAGCTAATATCCCAACATTTATATACACATGCTGATCAAGACATACCATAGTTTTCGGAGTATAAACCGCACTTGAGTATAAGCCGCACCCAGATATTTTGTCACGACATACAGACATCTAAATTTCCCTATTTATCACTGATAATTCCCTATTTATTCCCGTAGCTATGCAGAAGACGTTACTTCGGTAACGTCTGGCGCTAGCCAGGGTCCACACAGCTTTAATTTGGTATTTGTGTGTTTGTGTGTTTGTTTGTTTGTGTCACGCCTGGCGCTATCCCGTATCTGACGGCAAAACATCATAGGGATGTTATACATTTTTCAATTCTCCTATTTTTTCAGGCATATCCTGGGATTCGAACCCGAACTATCGCCCTACATGCATTCCCCCATAGTAGGGCCATACACTTCGCATTCATACCCATTCTTCCAAGTTGCTTCACGTTATGATCTTGCGTTTGAAAGCTCTATTTGAATATTGCGGGCAGCTGTATGTGGCCAGCTGTGTTTGATGGTACGGTACGGGAGACGGTGTCGTATTACCCTCGATCGTACCTGTCCCGTACCTGTCCCTACCTTACCGTACCATCAAAGACGGCTGGCCACAATGCATATTTAAATTTATTTATTATTTATTTATTTATTTATTTCACCTTCCCGTGGCCAGAGAATATAGGCCAATATGGAGGGAGGGGGGCGGTAGCCAGCCATGGCTGTAAACAAAAACAAAGCAAAAATAAATAAATATTACACATTACTGGAGGCAAAGAGAAACAAATCTGGATGAAGAATTAGCAGTTATTATAATTAGGGCTTTCAAATGCAAGATCATAATGTGAAGCAACGTGGAAGAATTAGTATGTATGCGAAGTGTATCGGGGGATGCATGCAGGGCGCGATAGTGCGGGTTCGAATCCCAGGTTATGTATTAAAAAAAAGAATTTTTTAAAGAATTTATAACATCCCTTTGCTTTTTTTGTCTAGGTCATCAAGGCAAAAAAGCATAGCGTAGGGCCCTGAGCTTCCAAGCTCTCTCGTCACTGATAATTCCCTATTTTATCACTGATAATTCCCAATTTATCACTGATAATTCCCAATTTATCACTGATAATTCCCAATTTATCACTGATAATTCCCAATTTATCACTGATAATTCCCTATTTATCACTGATAATTCCCAATTTATCACTGATAATTCCCAATTTATCACTGATAATTCCCAATTTATCACTGATAATTCCCAATTTATCACTGATAATTCCCTATTTATCACTGATAATTCCCTATTTATCACTGATAATTCCCTATTTATCACTGATAATTCCCTATTTATCACTGATAATTCCCTATTTATCACTGATAATTTGACCATTGTAGTATAACCCACACTGATTTTTGGTGTGAATTGCTGTTGGTATTTGAAGTGCACCTTTTACTACGGAAAATACGGTGCCGAGTTGGGAGTACCAGTGGCGGTTTGTTTCTGCTGTCTCTGCAGCTCCAGCATCCAGTAGGGCAGTAGCAGCAGCAGCAGCAGCACCTGCCTCTGCAAACAGCAGGTCTGCGTTTCCTGGTGTACCCGACATCTATGTCCAGAGCCGGGATTCATCGCCCAGTCCACTTCCATGTGAGTAGTGCGATGCAAGACATGTTGCAACATTAGAATAATGACTCGGTGCACTCATCTGCTATCCAGCTTCTATAGTCGACAGATGGTCGTTGTCGTGCCACCACTGCCAATACGGCTATTACCTCATGATCAGCATGGATAGAAACCGTTTATATGACCAACTTCAATTCATTGGAAGTAAGGGATCATCGTATGATACCCTGAGATATTGTTGCTGGCAAATTGGAAAGTGGAACCAATTGTGTACTAGAAAATGTATTTGGTCAAAATCGGACAATAACATTGCCTTGAAATTCTACCTATTTTGAAGTAAGGGACTGCTAACCCATGGGGCCTGCTGTGTAGAATGGGTAGAAGAGAGCAGTGAAAAGCTTGTCACTGCGCGGATTCCGCTCTCGGTCTGTCTGTTTGTCTCCTTGCTCATTCCCCTCTCTCTCTCTCTCTCTCTCTCTCTCTCTCTCTCTCTCTCTCTCTCTCTCTCTCTCTCTCTCTCTCTCTCTCTCTCTCTCTCTCTCTCTCTCTCTCTCTCTCTCTCTCTCTCTCTCTCTCTCTCTCTCTCTCTCTCTCTCTCTCTCTCTCTCTCTCTCTCTCTCTCTCTCTCTCTCTCTCTCTCTCTCTCTCTCTCTGTTTC